AGGACAAGGGCCCATATTATTTTCCTTTGTCAGAGTCACTATCTGTGATGATTTTATGTATTAATTTGGTTAGGCTATAGTACCCACATATTAGAGGGACAGGATTCACGGTATGAGAAATTTTTCAAACATAGAGTGCATCTTCACAGGATGCTGGGTGGCCACAAACATGCCTACGTTAGTGAGTGAAGGAGAGGGAGGAATCAAAACTGATTCCACGTTTTCTCATTCAGCAGCTGGTTGATTGGCGATGTTGTGGCCAAGGCAAGGAAAATGGGAGGACTAGATCTGTGGGATGGAAAAAAAAATGGAGTTTTTGTTTTTGAATACGTTGAATTGAAAATATCTGCAGCACATCAGTGTGGAGACAATTGTACAATAGACAGAAATTTGGGTTTTAGGTTCAAAATAGCAGGTTGGACTAGAGATATAAATTTCATAACCACTCTATAGATGTGGCAATAGACAAGGCTAAACAGGAAGTATGTAACCCTAGGAACATCTGCCCCAGAAGGGCAGGTGGAAGAGGAGGAATACTCACCCAAGGACTAAGGAGAACAAGTTGCAGGGTGGGGGGGGGGTGGGGGCGGTAGGGGGATATAAGGAGAATCCAAAGACTGAGAACTCTACAGTGTGATGGAAATCAAAAGTGCAAAGGAAGAAGGTGGTGAGCAAGAAAGTGAAATGCTACAGAGAGATGAGTAGAGTGAGGACTAAGGGGCACTGGATTCCCAGGCAGGAGTTCATTGGTGGTACGCAGAGGTGCTTTGCCTTAGGCCAAGATCACGACCCATTTAGGGTAGACAGTCACATGCTGTGGGCCTCTCCTCAGCCCCCACCAATATACAGCATTCATCCTTTTGTACCCACCCTTCCCTCAATCCCCCCAGTGTCCCTTCTCAAGCCCACTTCACCCTACATTTCCTAACGATAAACTCTTCCCCAAACCAGCACCCCATTTGAGTCTCAGGTCCCAGCTCTATGCTTTCCCAGCCACATCATTCTCCTAGTTACCACCACCATTACCTTCTCTCTGTCTCCAGTCCCTTTCAGTTCTTTTTGGTATTTTTCTGATTGTAGAATCATTTGTCTAGCACTCCTATATCAGTCCCCAGGCCTGAATCAGTTCCTCTGCTTCCCTTTTTTCCATCCCTATTCCTAGGCATCCTTCCCACCCACCAATGGCACTGCCATTTTCCCCAAAGGCCTACCAGTGCTTCATGGACCAGCCCTCACCTGTACCCAAAGTTTTCCTGGCACCAGGCCTATTGTTCTCAATCTTTGGAGACTTTCCTGACCAGCCTAGACCTACTTTTCTTTGCCTGTCTCTCACCTTTCTGGTTTTTCCTCTCACTTTGGATGCTGTTTTACTCTGGGGATTATGGTCCTTACTTTTGTTTCTTTCCTTTTTCCTTATCTGCAAGTTTTTTTTTAAAGAATGGTTTAAAAAGCCATTATCTTTCAGAGATACATAATGAAATATTTATTGATGCAATGCTATGACTGGGACTTGATTCAAAATATTTGGAAGTGGGGCAAGTGAGTGGGTCTAAATGAAGATACGATTGTTTATAAGTTGAAGCTGGTCATGGGTCATTGTTGATGCTGACTGGTATGTGGGTACATAATTTATATTACTCTCTAGTTTTATATATGTTTAAAATTTTCCAATGAAAGGTTTTATTGCAAATTAAATTGATATAAAGAAAACTAACATTGATTAGAAAAGAAAACTTAAATTGATAAAAAATATAATACTACAGATGTGGCAAAAGTCATGAAGGTAATATTTGAATGCCTGGTGTTGGGAAAACACTAAAACAATAGAAAAGGAGCTATGAATGGGTGGGGTATAGACCATTATAGCTTGAGGAGGGAGGAAAGAAGCCTTGGTAATTATGTTGTTAAGGCCTGACCCTCGTGGTTGTGGAGTCCATATACTCTTCAGGGAGTAAGGGGTTGAAGAACAGGTAGGACTTGAACAAACAATTTTGAAACAGCCACTGTGGGGAGGAGGAAGGAAGCCAGCCAAAGGTTAGCAGCTGTTGTGGTTGGAGAACATGAATTTGCAGGAGAGCTACTCACCAGTGTCTTCACGACTTAAATGGTCTTCTAAGTGACTCTAGGAGCTCTTACAGGTGCTTCAGCATATCTGCAAAAAATGAGAAGCATTTTCCTTAAATCAACTAAGATGTAAACTGCCCATGAAACCCATTTGTCTCTTTAAAATCTGTTTTACATATTGAGTTTCAGGGAGAATTTCCATAGAAAAAAAGGTTCACTGTTAAAATAATTTGACAAGATCAGCAATATCCCTGGCATAGCTGTGTACTTTCTGATGTGTTATGCATTTGCTGCTACTTTTGTTGTGGGTGTTAAGTAGGACACACTGTAGGATGAGGGATAGTGAGTCAATCTCAAAGGAAAGAGAATGTTGAGAGTGGCTCTTGGTTTAGAGTGGTTTATAGGGCTTTATCTGCTCTCTTTGGCTAAGGCAGTGGTTTTCAACCTGTGTGTGTGCACACATATAATTTCAACAGGTTCAAAGACAAGAGATTCTAGTCAAAATCCCAAATTCAAGCCCTGTGGCAAGAGGGCTTCATGGGAACATGACCACTTGTGTTTAGCAAACAGAGGGCTTATTTGTGGCTCTCAGAAATGATGAGCAGTATTGTCGTTGAGATTGTTTATTCCACAGGCCTCTAATGTTAAAACTTGACTTTCCTATCTTAGTCCAGTAGCACTTACCAAAAGTTTTTCATTTAAGTCTGACTCAAAGTCTGTTATCCCTTTGATGCCAGATAATTGCTTTACATATACAACACTGGTAACAGTATGATATGTACACAAAATACAAGTTGTGTTTTATTTCATATTTTTAAAGAAAATTCTGTGTGTATAGACTTATATGGTGAATCAGTAGCTGTTGTGGCATGTTTAAGAGGGAGAAGAGAGGTGACTGACTTGTATTGAGCACTTAGGATACAGTAGGTGCTCTGTAACTTATTTAGTCAACATAGGATTGTTATTAGGTTGATATCACTTTTTCTATTTGAAAATGCAATAACATTTGCAAATAGAAAATAATCAGAAAGTCTGATACATTTGCCCAAAAGACCAGCTAATGAGTGACTGAGTTGGCATTGAAACCCAACTTTAGAAGATCTGTCTTCTACAGCAACAGTCCCCAACCTTTTTGGCACCAAAGACCAGTTTCCTGGAAGACAGTTTTTCCACAGATGGATGGCAGTGGGGGTGGGGACAGCTTCGGAATGAAACTGTTCCACTTCAGGTCATCAGGCATTAGTTAGATTCTCATAAGGAGCCCACAACCTAGATCCCTCGCCTGCACAGTTCACAATAGGGTTTCTCCTCCTGTGAGAATCTAATGCTGCCACTGATCTGACAGGAGGCGGAGCTCAGGAGGTAGTGCTCATTCTGCTCACCTTACATATATATATAAAATGCCTACTGCTCACCTTCGGTTCCTAACAGGCCATGGACCACTACTGGTTCTTTGCCCAGAGGTTGAGGACCCCGTTCTAAAGTTCTTGCTTGATAGAGAACACTGGGTGTTTATTGGTTTTTGGCCACCTTGTATTCATATCTCTCTTCTTTAGAGTAGTATTCGCCCATCATCCTCCCACCCCTGCCCCCATTCTATGGTGTGCCCTGAAACTATTCATCAAGGTTCCTGGCTGCATGACCCAGGCTAGGCTAATCACATTCCCTGAGAGTTGTTTGAATTTTACATCGAGAGACTCTCAGACTGAAAATTTTACTGGAACTAATTCTTTCTAGTGAACACCATGAAAGAGCTACCTGTTGGCACCTGCTACCTCGACTCCCTGAACTTCCCTATTGCTTCTCTAGACTTCTCTTTGTTTCTGTAAGTGATTCAATATCCTTTAACAAGCCCATTTCTTTTGTAGGTTAACTGATGCTATGGACTGGATAGTGTTCCTTCAAAATACGTATGTTGAAGCTCTAACCCCCTAGTGTGGTGGTATTTGGAGTTAGGGACCTTGGGAGGTAATTAGGTTTAGATGAGGTCACGAGGTTTGGACCTTCATAATGGAATTAGTGCCCTTACAAGAAGAGACACCTGAAAACTTGTTGGTTTCTCTCTGCCATGTAAAGACACAGTGAGAAGGTGGCCACTACAAGCTGAAGAGAGCCCTCACCAGAAACCAATTATGCTGGTACCCTTATCTCAGACTTCCAGCCAATGAGAAAATAAATTGCTGTTGTTTAAGGCACCCAGTCTTTGGTATTTTGTGATGGCAGCCTGGGCTGGCTGGTACAGATGGGTAGTTTCCATTGCTTCCCACAAAGGAATCTGACTACTATACAAAATGACGAATGAGACGGCATATTTTACCTTGCAGTACCTTGGCTCTGAGATGGGGAAGAAAGAAGGACAAAGGTTAAACCAGAAAATTTAGTGACTTGCTATCATCTCTAGATAGGAAAAGTTTGGTGAATAAGGAAGAGATTGAAACTATTTCATAGTGTGTGATTTTGGAATTATTTATGGGTTATACTTATTCTTACTTTTCTGTGTCTTGTTTGCATATTCCTCATTCCTAACTTAATCATGATTTAGCTCTTACATGGTGAATAAACCAGAGGAGACTTAGAAAATTAATTGGCCCAGGATACCTTTTTCTTTAGGCTGCAGAGCTGGTGAAATGAAAGCATATCCCCAGGAAGTGGTCTGTCAGGAAGAAAAGCTGCACTAAAATGGGCATCTAAATTTTTCCTTCCTACTTGTTTGCTTTGGTCTTAAAGAATGTTTGAAATTCCTGCTGCCGGAATTTGTTCCTTGGCTCACAGTCACCTCTTCTAATATAGGTTCGTCTTTTATTTTTAGAGCTTTGTTTTGATCTATATGTCTCTTAGTTCTCAGAGAATTGCATCCCATGAAATGATTCAGTTCTGAGAAATCAAGCCAGGTAAAGATGAAATGTAAGGCTTTACCAGCTCTATAATACTTTTCATCTGCTTTTAAAGATATACACCCTCCCACTAGGGTTTCTTGGCATCATCTATATGTTTTCCTATTAGTTACAGACATTTTGAGCTTTCATGGTATCCTAGCGATCACCCCTCTTGTCTTACAGATGAGGAAATAGATGTCTAGAGAGGTAACTGGCTTGTCAATAATTATGTAGTTAATTTGTGACTAAGTAGGGACTTGAAACCAGTTTTTCAGATTTCTAGTTCAGCTTTTGTTCTACTTCCACAAACTGCCAACTAATTTACCAAGCCAAGAGAATAAAAGCCATTCTCATTCATCTCAAACTAAAGAAAAATATGGAAAAGAAGAAATAGAGTTTTCAAAGTATTGAGTTTCACTGAGCAAAAGGGGAAGATTTGGAGCCATGTGGAGGAAAGAGGCAGAGAGGTAATGCTTTTTGGAAGTACTGTTTTTAAGCTTACTGCCAGATTGCTTTATTCCCTGGGCATGTGCCTGCATGTTTATTTCATGGGTTAAATGATCCCTTTAAGGTGAATGAAACACTGTCTCATTTCCTTGCAAACCAAAATTTAAATAAAATAATTTTTTCCCTTGGGAGTTTGTCACATTAAATCCGCTCGGTTTAAGCATCTGTGTTGAAAACAGTCTAAGGGGAACTAGAACTTCATCTTATTTCTCTAATTGGTGTCTGTGCCTTCTTGCCTTTGGAGAAGCGAACATTGTCTGGGCATCATGCTCATGTTTCAGCTCTAGAGTGAATGTCCACGGTCTGCTTGATACCTCTTTTTCTTCCTGGGCAACCACTCCCTAGGTCAGGATGGTCTGGTTTCACTATGGGCCAGCTGTTCTGGGATTATTTTTTCAGGGTTGGAAACCACAATTTTGGACTCTGAGCCTGAGAATAAAAGTGTAGAGGAAAAGGTCAAATAATATTTTGTGGGATTATCTGCATTCTATTTGAAAACCAAGGAAGTCTATCTTCAGTGTTTTTTAGTACCCCTATTCTAAACATATTGCTCTAAACAACATATGATGAAAAGTCATAAATATTAAGTGAAAACACACATTCCTCTTCTTTCCTCTAGGCAACAAAAGCAAATATCGAAAAGGAGTAGACCAGTTGGAATTTATAATCTTCCTTCTGAACTAAGAGGTACTTCTTCATAACCCTAAGGGGCTTGGGTTCTGGGCCTGGGCTCCCAAATCCCTCTGTGTGTAAATAAAAAACGATGCTTAAAGCAGATATTTCAGTGAGGAAAACAACTTTGGAGCCATCCTTACCATAATGGGCTGCTGGAGTTGAGTAATTAGTAGCTATAGCATTTAGGGCAGGGTTTTAGGAAGTTAGTCTCTGTAGTTGAAAACTTTTGCCGTGTCATAAGAATTTGTGTCATAAGAATATTCAGTGAATTTTTGGAAACAAACAAAAGGAAAGTAATAACCATCAAGCTCAATGATTGAAATTGGTTGTATTTTGTGAAGTTGTTCATTTTTTTCTCCTTGTATTTAGATTATATTTACAAAGCTTTGAGTCCTAAATTCCCATGATTTTTAATAAATGTCAATAATATAAGCAAACATTTAAAAATTAATTAATAATTGTATCTTCTCAATATGATATATATTTTTGCATAATAGTTTCTAATCTTTTCATGCATATAGATTTTATAGTATTTATAATCAAAATATTTTATATTATGCTTTTTTATGTAACATTGTCTTGACATTAAAATTATCCATGTTTTTAGTCTTATTAACAATTGCTTCTTTAAATGACTGATTAATATTTCATAGTATCTATCCCAATTTGCTGACTGCTACTGGCAACTTAGCCTTCAACTTATTAAAGTATATTATAAAAATATAAATGTATATCATAAATAACATTGTATTGACATCTTAACATATATAACTTTTTATTTTATTATTCAGTCGAATTACTTTTTCATGAATAAATTCTCAGAAAAGTTATAATGGTTAAGATTACGAACATCTTTATGGTTCCTGCTATTTATTGACATATGCTTTCTAAAGTATATATGGTATGACTGTATAACGTTCTCTGCAATTTTATGTATATTTGGTATTACCATTTATTTGCTTTAATTGTGTTTCTTTGATTATTAGGGGGATACACGTTTTTCTTTGTGGATTTTGTTTTATTGTTTGTGCTGGTTGTATTTATTTGCATGTGAATTCTGTGCTGTCATTTGGATCTCTGATACACCCAAACTTCATGTTGAAATTGTGGGGGCGCTTGGGTCGTGGGGGCGGATCCCTCATGAATAGATTAGTGCCCTTCCTGATGTGGGGAGGGAGTTTGTGAGTTCTCCCTCTATTAGTTCCTGAAAGAACTGGTTGTTAAAGGGTCTGACACCTTCCTTCTCCCTTTCATGCTTCCTCTCTTGCCATGTGATACTGCACACACTGGCTTCTCTTCTCCTTCCACCATGAGTGGAAGCAGCCTGATGCCCTCATCAGAAGCAGATGCTGGTGCTATGCTTCCTGTACAGCCTGCAGAACCGTAAGCCAAATAAACCTCTTTTCTTTATAAAGTATCCAGCCTCAACATAAGATGAACTAACTTGTTTAATCTGTTTTATCATTTCTGTAAGGAACAGTACACTTTGACTACTGGATAACTGGACTACCTATGCCAAAGTAATCTTCAGAACAGGAACATTAGAACGTTTTTTTCTCAGGTGAGATTTATATGAAACCATCTCACTACATTTTACATTTAGCTGATGTAACTATTAAATTTGTATAATAAAGAAATTATCCTTCTTCTTGCTGTGCCCTCACATGGCAGAGGGAGAGAGAGACCACAGGCTCCCTTGTCTCTTATTATAAAGGTACTAATTCCATCATGACAGCCCAACCCTCATGCCCTTATCTAAACTGAATTACCTTCCAGAGGCCCCATCTCTAGACACCATGGCACTGGGGCTTCAACATATGAATTTTGGGAGGGACACAAACATTTAGTCCTTAACACTCCCCTTCTCCCTCAGGCCACTTCAGTTTACCCAAGTACACAGCCTCCTAATTAAGGGGAACTTGGTGATTCTTAAAGACAGGGGTAAATTTTCACGAACATCTGATCAAGCCTTTTTTTTTTTTTTTTTTTGAGATGTAGTTTCACTCTTGTTGCCCAGCGTGGAGTGCAATGGTGCAATCTCGGCTCACTGCAACCTCCACCTCCCAGGTTCAAACAATTATCCTGCCTCAACCTCCCAAGTGGCTGGGATTACAGACATGCGCCACCACGCCTGGCTAATTTTTTCATACTTTTAGTAGAGATGGGATTTCACCATGTTGATCAAGCTTTTACACATTGAATTAATAGGTATAGAACACAATGAAACAAACCAAGAAAGAACAAGTGGAAAGAAAGTAGTTAGAGCACTTAATGTCAAGTTAAATCAATCACTAAGCATAATTTGTCGTGTGGGTATTGATGATGGCATGTGGTGTGTGTTGAGATTTAAGAATGTATTTCACAGTGACATGGATGGAGCTGGAAACCATTATCCTTAGCAAACTCACACAGGAGCAGAAAACCAAGTATTGCATGTTCTCACTTATAAATGGGAGCAAAATGATGAGAACATATGGACACATAGAGGGCAACAATACATACTGGGGCCTTTTGGAGGGTGCTGGGTGGGAGGCAGGAAAGGATCAGGAAAAATAATTAATGGGTTCTAGACTTAATACCTGGGTGATGAAATAATCTGTACAACAAAACCCCATGATACAAGTTTACCTATGAAGAAACCTGTATATGTACCCCTGCACTTAAAGTTAAAAAAACAAAACAAAACAAAACAAACCTATTTAAATGATAGGAAGGCTGTTCTTTATGTCTTACAACTCGCACATTTACCAAAGAGGAAGGTCCCAGTACTGCAGGGATCTTAGCAGTACTGGGACCTACCTCTTTGGTACTTTCCCCTGGGCCCCCTTCATTTCACTCCCTACCCACACTCCTTGTCCCGAGCTCCCACTTATCAAATGGCATCAGGCTTGTTACTCATTTGACTATTTTCTCTTGTGAGTCAGGAATGATTCAATATCCTGGCAAGGGTTAGGAAGGCTAGTCTTTTTAAAGAGCTATCTTATAGGTAAATAAATACGTGATAACTTGTGTGTTTGCAAACACTTTTAAGTATGTTTTGCACTAATTCTTAAGGTTGAAGAGATATCTTAGGATTAAAAAAAATGTATTAGTTGATAATTTAAAACATGTAGTTTGTAAAGTCTGAATAACTCTTATTTTTACATGGTAAAAAGTGTAAATTACAAAAAGGTATACAATGAAAAATGAATTTCCTTCTCATGTCACATCCCTAGTTCTCGCTGTCTCCCTTCAGAGGCAGCCACTACTAATGACTTCCAGAAACATTCTCTACATAATCAAACTTCAATATTGTTTATATAGCAACCTTTAAGAAAACTCAATTAGGTACATACTATATACATCTTGGTTATTATTATTTTTAACTTAACCATGTTTTGTTTCTTAGAAATTGTTCTATATCAGCACAAATAGCTTTATCCTATTCTTTTAAATGGCCCTATCATGAGGATATGACTTAATTTATTAAAGTAGTCCTCTAATAATAGGTATTTAGGTTATTTCTAGTCCTTTAAAAAGCAAACCCCACTGCATGAAAAGCCTTATATATACATATTTGTGCATTTTTGTGGTTTTGTAAGTGTATTTGCTGTATATCTATAGGTTAAATAACAGCATGAAGAGAAATATGATCTTGTAGTGGTTAAAAGCATGATTATTTTGGGTTTGACTGTCTACTACCAGCCTACCACTTATTAGCCATATAACCTAGGACAGGTTACTTAACTTTCTGTACCTCAGTTTTCTCATCTGCAAAATGGGTATAAATAATAGTATATACCTTGAAGAGATGTTATGGGCATTAAAGGACCTAACAGAAGTACATCATTCTGATATCCACATGTAATACATTCTGCATAAATTATCTTACTAGGATACTTTCCTGGAAAACAGGACTTTCTCTTTTAAAAATATTAATGCTATCATTGCACGATAACTTTTTCTTCTTGAACCTTGACAAAGATCTCACTACTACGCTTATTACAAGTACTGATATAATTCATGCTCATTTTGGCTCGAAGGGGATGGCTTGGCAGGGCAAACTGAGAGTAAACTTCCTGACCATAGGTATAAAAGTGAAAGTCTGAATTTAGTCTTATTTGTTTTTGAACATTAGATTAAAGGTCATCATTTTGGACCTCAGTGTCCTTATCTGTTACATGCAGGGATTAGATTAGATGATCCCTAAGGTATCTTCCAGTTCCAACAACTATGTCTGTGCTTATTCCATTCTCAAAATGAGATATGATTTATGTGGCTTAGACAATTGTGGGGGATAAGTTTAAATCCTGACTCATCTAACTGTGACTTTGCACATGTTGTTCCCTCTGTGTGGAATGACCTTCCCCCTTGTCAGGTTGTTGAGCTGAGCTCTGATTCACCCTAGGAGACTCAGCTCTGGGTGGGCCCTCTCTTTAAAGCCTTCCCCAAGTGTCCCAGCTGAGCTAGGCACAATTTCTCCTTGAGCTCTCTTAGCCCCTGCATTATGGTAGGATAAGAGTCTGAAGCCTTAACTGATAACTTCTCTATGTTATCAGCTTTGGTATTGTATTTTTGATGCACAAAGAAGAGATGGCACTTTCTTTTCTTGGATTGTAAGTTTCAAAAGTCTGGGTCCTGTAGGGAATCAAAAGGCCTATGCGCCTAGATAAAATGATGACTGGGATAAACCACCCCCAGTAAAGGTTCCATGCTCCAGAGGACAGAAGGTTCTTCAGACAGAAGTAAGCAAAGGTTGAGCTGACACTGTGGATCCCTGACAAAGGAGTGAGACTCTCTGCCCTGTGCTTTCCCCAAACTCAGCACAGGGAGAAGGAGAGTGACAGAGCTTGCCAAGAGGTATGTGGAATCTGAGCACAGAGGGAATCCAGGTTTTCTTTCCTGTGTAGGGCCCAGGGAGGTAAGAGCCCAGAGTAGAAATGGCTGCACAGGGCATCCAGGTGGACAGACCTGAGGGAGCTTGTGAAGTCCCATAGAGCTCAGCATGGCATGGGATCAGAGAATGATATTCCTGTGGTCAGGAGGAGCACGGAAGTGGGAAAGGGAAGAGGATAATCTTGCTGAGTTTCCTGAGGCCCAGTGTGGTGTGAGAGAACAGAATGATCCCATGTACCTTAAAGGGGCAAGGGAGTTTGTTAACAGAGAGCTGGGCCCCAGTGTACTTTTGATAGGGAACATGAACAGAATCAGCAGTGACCTGCAGAGACTGACTACTGAAGACCAGGTGGAGGACAGCTCAGCAAATAAACAGATGCTCACCCACTCCCAGCCTGCTTCAGAGAGGTGGAGGGATCCCAGATCAGCAGATGAAGTCTCTACAGCCTGGAGAAACTGAACTCTTTCTACAGCCTGGAGAAACGGAACTCCATCGTTAAAGTTAAGATACCTTGTTAGAATTCTTAAAAATTTAAGTAAAGATGTCTAGCCCTTCTAAAACTTCTCTATTGTAAATGATTTCTTGTCTGAGTCTCTGGATTGCAAGCTCTTTGAGGAAAGGCACAAAGTCTTTATTTATTTATTTATTTTTTGAAGCAGAGTCTCGCTCTGTCACCCAGACTGGAGTGCAGTGGCGTGATTGCCTCACTGCAACCTCCACCTCCTGGGTTCAAGCAATTCTCCTGCCTCAGCCTCCCAAGTAGCTGGAACTACAGGCACACGCCACCATGCCTGGCTAATTTTTGTGTCTTTAGTAGAGATGGGGTTTCACCATGTTGGTCAGGCTGGTCTCAAACTCTTGACCTCATGATCCACCCGCCTTGGCCTCCCAAAGTGCTGGGATTACAGGCGTGAGCCACCGCGCCCCACCCTTATTTTCTTTTTTATTTGTTCCTTTACCTTGCAAGTGCTGACACAGAGGAGGCCTGCAGTAAGCTTTTTAAATGAGTAAATGGACATTTATTCGTTGGCTGTTGTGTGCTACAACTTATGCTTTCACAGCCCTATGGACTAGGCATGATTATCTCCATTTTGCAGCTGAGGAAAAGCAGGGCACAAGGAACTCACATAACCCATTCATGAGCAGCAGAAGGCAGATCTCTCATTAATTCACATTCTAGGTCCTCTGACACCAGACTGCCTTCCCGGGTGAAAATGAAGATTTTTCTCTTACTGTCTAAACTATGGAATAAGAAGGAAAATTCATTTTTACTTATTTTAGTAAATTTATACACGTATCTTGCTTTACTGCTTCCAAAATGAAAAGCAGAGTGTTCTCTACTCATTTTACTTTTATTATTAGTTATACATTTTTTTTTTAAGTACCTAGTCCAGTATGATCATGATCCCACAAGTATAATAAAGGTATGGACAAATCTTCTTTGTAATTCTGCCTGGATTATTTATAAAAGAAATATATTCTCAGGAGGGAGAAAGAGCTTTTTGAAAAAGAAATACATGCTCTTTGTAGAAAAAAATTAAAATCAGAAAAAGGCAAGAAAGAAATTAGAATTTCACTCCCTAGAAATACCCACTGTTAGCTTTCAGGTATTCGCCCTAATTTTAGAAACATTAAAATTCACCCTGATTGTAGAAACATTAAATTAGAAATATTTAGAAACAATTGGTGTCAATACTTTGTCTATGTGCCGTTATTTCACTCAGTGTTCTCCATAGTGTAGGGTATTTGGCTTTCATGAAATCAAGAGCCATCTGTTTAGATTGTAGCACTCAGTGGGAGAAGTTATTGAAGTTAGGTTTAAACAGGTAAATTGAAATACTCAATATGCAAATTATTGCTTTATATGCTCTTCCAGAAAACTTGTAAAGATTCAAGGGAAGTAAAAATGTTCATATAATGCAGCAAGACTGTTATGACTACAATAAACTTTAAATGCCATTTGAGATACCAAAAAGAGAATAAAAATACTCTGAAGCAGGGTTTATGATGGTTTAATAATCCTAGAGAGAGGAGGGACCTTGTGTTCCGGAGGGATCTGACCACCTGGCCTCAGTGTATCATCCATACCCATAGTCAGGGTTTTATCACTTCATCTGTTGTCTTGAACCAAAGAGAGAGAAGTTAGCAAGTCAGCCATGAGGCAGCAACATCCTCCCTCCCTTTCCCAGAAGTGGTGACGCACTGGGCTAAAACACGGAGTAAAAGTTTACTGCTAGATTTGCATTTCAAACTTTCTAGAAAATTAACATGTCTATTTTAGGCCAATTAAAGAAGAAAGGCACCTACCACCAGGGCATTAGAATTTTCTCAATGTAAATGGAAACTACTGTAGAATTGTTTTGGCTTGTTTCCATGGTGTTTAAGAAAGTAGGAGGTCTGGAGGGCACCATAAATTGACTTGATGTTTTTAGATTTTTGACATGTAGGGACTAATCTCATTTCCCTGTCAGTGTGCCCTGTCAGCTGCTGCAGATGAAAATACGATTAGCCCTTCCCTTTAATTGGCCATGCAATAAACCCATCATCTCAATACCATGGTGTGGTGGTTCGGAGCACAGACTTGGAGCCAGACTACTTGCATTTGAATCCTGATTCTGCTGTTTACAAGACTTTTGGCAAGCTACTAAAGATGTTGCCTTATGTTTCTATTGCAGGGGTGTTTAAAAATAAGGATTAAATGAGTTAAAATGTGTAAAGCACTTAGAACAATGCCTGGTGCATAGTAAGAACTATACAAGTGTTAAATAAAACATTATAATTAGGCTTCCTATGATTGCTGGTGAACCAGAGGTAAAACAACTGATCAGGAGTGGGCTAATGACATATGGCTGACTTGGAAATCTTATAATAATAATAATAAAAAAGTTCCAATATTGTTATGGCAGAGTAGGTGGGTGTTTACAAGAAAAAAAGGAAGATTAGGGCTGAACACGGCAGGGATCTTGAAACCTGTGGGTTCCTTTAGTAGGCAAGGTATGTTGGGGCTGGCCAGGAGGATGAATGTGGGAAACTGCGTTATTTTAGGAACAGGATAAATATTCAAAGAGAGATTGGGATTCTTCAGATTGCTTACCTAGATTGTGGAGTGGGTTAGTAGAGATAAAAGGAGCCTGGGGAATAGATAGGAGATATCCAGAGTTACTCCTTCTTGTTAGGCTTTTGGATAAATCAGATCGTATTTTAATCTTCAATTCACTGATTCTATCAGTTATCATTTGTTGCTTGCAAGCACCAGAATCCACTTCTGGCTAATTGGATCAGAGAAATAATTTATTGGAAGTGGGGAAACTTAACCAAAAGAAACGCAAGGAAAGAGACTTAGACTAGGAAGTAAAGGCCACTGGGAGGCTGGGAAGCAGGGACTGCCGAATGGTCACTTCAGGGCCAGTTAGCCCTGTCCCTCTGCTCAAAGGTCATATTCCAGGGAGAGGAATCTGCATGGCCTAGCTTGGGTCAGATCTCCAGCCCTTGGCTAGAGGAGGGCAGGGTACACATGAATGTACCTGAAGCGGGTAGTCCTCCAAAGCAAAATCAGAGTGCTATTCCCAGAAGAAGGAAGAAAGGAAGCAGAGTGGACAAAAACAGCTAATGTCCATGCTCACTACGGTATATGGCTTCAAGCAACCAGTGAGGAAGACAAAGGTATAAAGCAATAGGAAGGCCCTGAAGTCTTTGACTTTGAATCTTTCTATACCATTCCAGCTACCTTCTCCTCTAACCTTGAAGCTAGATGCCTGAGCCTGTTGTTAACCAGGAGGAATCCTACTGCTCTGATGAAGTCATCTCCTGATTCTAACACAATCTGATTGAAAGAAAACAGCTTAAAACACCATGGATTTTTATCAAAATGCTATTTATTCTTTCATTAGGTACTTGTTGAATGTCTACTGTCTATCAATTAAAAAACAAAAGAAAACAAAATCTATCCTCTTCCTGTCAGAAATTCTACCAGCCGGGGAAGCAAGACAGACACATAAGCAAATAAATTACATGATTACAACACAGTGTGAAGAATACTATAATAGAGGAACAAAAACGAACTGCCTGAGGACTCAGTGGAGGTGGCATTTGAACTAGTTCTTGAGAAACAAATGAGCACTTATAATTTTAAATTGAGACATTTATTATAAAAGCAAATTTGTGACCCCAAATTATAAACATTATTTGCACTGCTGTCAGCAGCAATGATTTAATCCACTGGCAGCATACATATTGTTCAGTTTTAGAGGGCTAAGAACTGAGGTTGTAAATAATACCTTGAAAGTCAAAAAATGAGGAACAAATAAACTGTCACATTCCTAAATTACAACAATTTTTAAACAATGCCCTGTTTGCAATCATCGTAGTTTCATGAGCTTAACTAGATGTGAAATGTGCTAGGTCCCTCCAGGACTTCTCAAGCCCATCAGCAGCTGTCACTCATGGGCTTGAGCAGCTTGAAGGTCAGATGTGCTGCTGGATCGGGCAAGGGTCTTGGGTCAGCTACTGACTTTTTAGTGTAGTGGCTACTTACATAATTAAGATCCATATCTTGTCCAGAACTCATTTACAGTGTGTCTTTGTGTTGGCAATGTCTCTGGATTTCAAAGTTTTCTAGAAATCATAAAATGAGAGTAAGGAATATAGTGGTGCCATCATTCCTCTGTATCCACAAGGGATTGATTCCAGGACCTCCCTGAAAGATACCAAAATCCATGAATGCTCAACTCTCTAATACAAAACAGCGTAGTATTTATATATGACCTATGTACAGTTTTTCCCATATATTTTAAATAATCTCTAAACTGCTTATAATTTCTAATAAAATGTAAATACTATTTAAATATTTGTCATACTGTGTTTTTAAATTTATATTTTAAAAACTGTTGTATTGTTGGTTTTTATTTTATTTTATTTTTTAATCTTTTAGATCTGTAGTTGGATGAATCCTAGGATGCGGAACCTGCAAATGGAGGGCCCATTGTAATAAATAACTCAGAATTAGTTTGAATAAGAAGTAGCTCATCACAAAGTAGGATGGTGAATCCTCAACAATTAGCAGATTATTCTCAATCTGCAACAACATTGTCAGAATTTCTTGTAATAAGAGTATGTTTTCCTGTGGCAAATGGGTATTTCTAAAACGTTGGGAAGTATTTTTTCTCTTGGTATAAATCTTTACCAGGTTGCATTGCATGTATCTCTATAAAGTACCTCAGATCACTTTTTAGACCAAAGTAGGAAAGCAAAGAGGAAATGAATGAATTTTTAAAAGCTCTAAAAATATATTTAAATAATTGCATTATGAAGTTTGAGTTAATAAAAACTGTCCAAAGCCCTAAAAAACGGTTCCTTTGACACCATTCTTTTGGTCCAGATGGACTGAGAGTTAGATGTCCTAAGCTTTTCCTCAGCTCTATCTGCCTGCGTAAACCTGGGTAAAATACGGGATAACCCCAGTAAATTAGTTAGTTGACTTTTGAGATCACTTCTACATGAGATGGTTAGCTCTACCCTTCTAATATGCCTTCAAATTAGTTATCAATTTACTTCAAGTAGTATCAAGTTACTACTACTT